TTCCTCGTTTCGATAGCCGTACTGATAGTATGGGTAAACATAGCTATTCTTTTTATGGGTTTTATGTTGTGCAACAGCTGCACAAAACGCATATTGTCACGGGGTTGTCTGTATGTATGTGTGTGTGTGCGTGTGTGCGTGTGCGTGCGTGTCTGTATGTCCCCGATGCTATCTCGTTATAAAATGAAACGGCATTTTCTGATCAAAGTTTAAGTCATATATGAAAAGACTAGTGGAACTCGAAGTTGTTGATTTTCGGATGCTGGTCCTGTAATTGCAAAAAAAATAATTGCTGGGAACGTCTCTTCTGTATTTTACATCAAAAATGGTTGGAAAATATGCTGTTAACATGTTTTTGCATCCGTAGGCACATGATTCGCTTACGAAATCGGAACTTATCTTGAAACGGCAGAAGAAAAAAATGGATGAGCTGGAGAAAGGGCTCGTTACAGGATTTATTGGGAATGCTGTAGCATTGTTCGAAAGCGATTTGCGGCGCGGTCTTCAAGAAGGAGAACTAGCGGTAATTTTTTGCATTTTCCAAATTATGCGCTGGATTTATCATGTCAAAAAAGTGAAGTACCCTTCTCCTGTTTCATTTGCCGTAAAAGCCAAAATTATCATAATTTGAAGACCTGATGGCACTTTGCCCAAAATTTGAGGCAGTTTTGACTCCCTAATATATGCCATTATCAATTTATGATCAAAATAAATCAAGAAATCGTAGAAGGATTGTATTTTCCATCGACAAATTTAGGTAGAATGTTCAAATTCGCAAAAAATACGTTTTTCTTCAAATACATTTTTCTTTTTTTTTTTGCATGAAAAGACTGCATGCAACAGAGAATGCCATCACTCTCAACACATACATGTATACAGCACCTACATGAATAAATACCATAAAATTTTAGTAGTTTGTATAATCAAAAAACATTTTCAGTCATATTGATAGAAGGTTTATCGGTAATGCAATGCATCCCCCACACAGGCAGAGGCGGAACCAGGGCGGTCTTCTGGAAGGAGAAGAGGGGGAGTAGCTTTGCCGGTGG